ATTATTATATATTATTACTACTACTATTATCATTATCATTATATCATTATCATTAATGATATTACTTAATGTTCTTATTTATTTTATCCTATCATTATTATTATTATTATCATTAATATTGTACTATCATTATCATTATTACTATTACTGTTGTTATACCTATTACCTTTTTGTTATTATCATTATCATCATTATCATTACTGTTATTATACATATTTCATATCATTGCATATATCAAATACATTTTTAATCAACAAAAATATCCACATCAACCTGAATTTATAAACTGACCAAATAATAAACTTCAAAAATAACAAAGCATTTTTGATAGGACGGGGAATGAACAATGAATACGATGATAATCCGGGATTCAGTAAACACTAATTTTATTCACATTGCTATGGAAATTGCACAAGCTTTCATTTTCCATGGTCAAGCACATTTCCATTGTTGTCCTGGATCCTGACTCTGATATCCTGGCGTCACACAGCAACATAGCAGAGTGATGTTTACAGTATAAATAAAAGGGTTTGCCCGGCATGAATATAAGCCTCATACAGTGTCAGACTCCGCGCATGCGCAGTGAGGAGAGGAGACAAGCCGTGCATGATGTAAACTTATTGTTTCGATAATGAAGCTACACCCACGGCCGTAGTTTTGTCCATCTCGTAAAGCTGTACAGCGACACATTTGCGTTACGGACGGCAAAGTGGGCATACGGGACCGGGTCGTTGGTGCAATGGTCGAGGCGGAATTGGTTCATAGCGTGAACGAAACACCCAATCTGCGCTCGGCGTTCATTTGGCCATTTACGATCGCGCTTCCCGATTAAATTGACGTCAGAGAGACAGAGAGAGAGAGAGAGAGAGAGAGAGAGAGGAGAGAGAGAGAGAGAGAGAGAGAGAGAGAGAGAGAGAGAGAGAGAGAGAGAGAGACCTCAAAAAAAAATTCAAAAAGAAATAAAAAGAAAAAAAGGAAAATGCATTACGTCCAAGTGAAACCCAATGAACAGCCTTCCCCATGGCAGTTCCCTATGAACTGACACTAGAGAGAGTAAAAGAACATTTTTGCGCTGCAAGTAGAAGAGAACTTTTAACCGCTGTCCTCTTTTACACTTTTCTGTTTACTGGAAAACTTTCAAGAGGAAGTTGCTGTGAAATTTGTTTAACTTGTTGATAATTATCCTTGTCATTGTTTTCCATGTTACTATTTTTGTTCCCATCCTTATCAATATCACTTCTCTTGCTATTAACTTTTATGTTATTATTATCATCATCATCATTATCATTATAATTATTTTGATCATTATTATTTCAATTATCATCAGTAGTATCATTCTTCTTATTATCATCATTAGTAGTAGTAGTATTATCATTATTATTACCAGTGTCATTACCACCATTAGCACTGCTATAATATACGCTGAATTCTGGTAATGCCAAATTATTACAATTACATTCGTAAAAAAAGCGAAAATGGATATGTTGTTTTATCAATTCCATCATAAACACATATTTAAATTATCATAAGATCTCTACATAGAAGATACAAAGGAATTCAGTATCTAATTACGATAGGTAATATTCAAAGAAAGGCACTAAATGATAAAAAAAATAATGCAAAGAGGAGAGTAACACCGCAAATAGATCGAATAAGACTTGATGCGATTAAAAGGAAATTGAAAGGCAACACGAACTGCAACTGTGCATTACTAAGATTAAACGTATGCATGTCAAAGCCAAAACCGAACCCACCTTCATTCACCTTTATGCAAATGAGGTGCATTAAATTCATGGTGATTGCCAAATGAACAATGAAAAAGGGGGCGGGGCCAGCAAATTGCACGTCCATTATGCACGTTGAGGAACAGTAAAAATGGGAAAAAGAGAGAAAAGGAAGGAAGAAAAACAGAAAGAAAATCTTACCGTACGTTTTATTTTTTTTTTTTTTTTTTCTTTTTTGTGAAAAGAGTTTCCATTTACAAAAAAAAAAAAAAAAAAAAAAAATATTTTCTTTTTTTTTTATTCAGATCGAAGGCGTAGTCGTTAAGGGAACTAAAAGGAAAGGAGGGGATGGGGGGAGGGGGGAGAGGGAGGGGAGGGGGAGAGGAGGGGAAGGGGAGAGGGAGGGGAAGGGGTTAAGGGGAAAAAGGGTTGAATAAGGAAAATTGACCGAGATTTTTGGGACGTAGACCGGATATTACCTTCGCTGCTGTTCCAGGCGCGGGATGCAGATGGAGGCCCTGTCTTCATAATTCCTTTTTCTGTTTTTTTTTTTTTTTCTCTTCTCTCTCTCTCCTCTCTCTTCTCTCTCTCTCTCTCTCTCTCTCTCTCTCTCTCTCTCTCTTCTTCTCTCTCTCTCTCTCTCTTCTCTCTCTCTCTCTCTTTCTTTCTATTGTATTTCACCTGCCGTTTTTTTTTTTTTTTTTTTTTTTTTTATCTCTGTATATCTCTCTGTCTGTCTGTCTGTGTGTCTGTATGTCGGTCTCTGTCTCTGCCACTGTTTCTCTCTCTTTCTCTTTTTCTTTCTGTGTGTGTGTGTGTCTGTGTATGTGTCTCTCTCTATATATTTTCCATCCTTCTGTGTATGTGTGTGTGTGTCTGTCTGTCTCTCATATCTTCTCTCTTTCACTCACTCGCCCATTCTTCCTCCGTTCTGTCTCCGAGAAGCCTTTGTGAAATGCTCGTAATGCTAATGAAAAAAGTGTATAATCAAGAAAAGAAAAGATATAAGTGCACCTTGTTCTACTCTTAGAGATTAAACAGTACTCTCACACACACACACATACAACACACACACCAACACACACACACACACACACACACACACACACACAACACACACACGCAGTCTTCAATACCTTTTATTTTTCTCTATACATGATCCCCAGTCTTAGAGATTAAACAGTACTCACACACACCACCCACACACCGCACACACAACACACACACACACACACAACACACAACACACACACACACACACAACACACACACACACACACACACACACACACACACACACACACACACACACACACACACACACACATACGCAATTTTCAATATTTTTTTATCTGTAAATGATCCCCAATCTTTCACTGACACGTTGATTAATTAATATTAATTTAATTCATAACAAACACCGCAAAAAAAAGGCGAATCATAAACACCTAAACGTTATTATGTAATGAAAACATTCCCTCAAGCAATGCACGCCGAAACCTCGAGACGACAGACAATTTTCGCTTGCAACTTTTCAGCGTGCAAATTCCTCTTCCTTTTTTTTCTTCTTTTTGGATTAATTTACATCTTTCGTAATTTTGCAAAACTGCATTTAGTTGGAATGCTAATTTTCTTTCATTGTTGGTTCTGTTGTTTTCCCTCGTTCCTGGCACTGACGTTTCCTTAAAATGTATTTATTTCTTTATCTCAAAAAAAAAAAAACATTGGGAATAGACATCGAAATACAGTATGCAGCAAGACCCTCCCTCGCAGACAAAAACAGAAGCAAAAACGGACAGCCTGTACGCGGAACTCGGGGCCGGCGGTACGGATGTTTGTCACAGCAAAAACACTCTAGTAGCGGCCTCTCCAAAACGAATGCTTTTATTCAGTTTACATGTAAAATGGAACATCAGGATAACCAAAGTGCTTTTATTCATCGGCATACTTCGTTAGCGTATTGGCGTCAATAAGGGATGAAAAAAACATTTCGTTTCGTATCCTCTTTGTGTGAAAAAAGGGAAAGATATTTGTGATGCATATCTCTGGGTTTCCTTTTTCCTATATTCTTTTGGCTATTTTTTTCTTTTGTTCTTTCTTTTTTTGTGTGTGTATATGCATACAGATGTATTTACGCATGTATAGCACACACGCACACAAGTACACGCACACTTACGCTTACATACAAACAGACAAACAAACAAACACACACCTTAACACAATAGCATTGATAACATCATAAGCATGACTATAAGAGTATACACATGTACTAACAAAAAAGATTTTAAAAAAAATAACAAAAAAAAACAGATAAACAAATAAACAAAAATAAAAACAGAATCCAAAATACGCAAAAAATGGCACATTGAAAGTACCGCACGACGAAATAATTCCCATCCTGCACTCGCTTAGAGATACAGTTCTCGGATATGTAAATCTTGAGATATGCAAATCAGTGAACAAGAGCAGAAATATGTCGGAATCTAGATGTTCTGACGCTCAGCCTTCTCGCCCGCAGTCGGCTCAATATACAATAAGAAGAGTTAAGAAAAGAATCTCCTTTTTTCTCTATTGTGAGGACATCAAGAAATAAAAGGGAAATGTTCAGACGAGAAATGGTATTGTGTCAGAAAATTGCGTGAGTTCCTTGGATGTCTTATTATCGTTATCACTGTTAAAATGATCATTGTTGTTGTGATTATTTATATTATTACTTATATTATTATTGTTATCATTATTGTTATTATAATTATTATTATTATCATCATTATTGTTGTTATTACTAACATGGTTATTATTAGTTATTATTATCAATTTGTTTTACATTAGTTTTAGTACTAGAATTATAATTATTATTGTCATTATTTTAATTATCATTATAACAAATATAATTCATAATCATACAGTTTTATGATATTATATTTTCTTTTATTATTATCAAACTGATATCCTCACCATTATCATTATGATTATAGTTGTGATTATTCCATAGTTTTGTATACTGTGATATCAATGAATGTAATATTCATCATCACTCCTTCCGTCTCTCTCTCTCTCTCTCTCTCTCTCTCTCTCTCTCTCTCTTCTCTTCTCTCTCTCTCTCTCTCGTCTCGTCTCTGTCTGCTTCTTGTTTAAGAAGGAAGTGATTTATTCAATGAATACGGTGTTTGCAAAAACCCACTAACCCCTCGCTCTCCTTCCCTCCCTCAGGTGACGGGCGAAAACTCCAAGTTCGAGGGCGTCTACGTGCACTACCGCCCTCGGCTCCTCCACGCC